CTTATAAGCATTAAATCTATTCATCTCCTGGTATCTCATTGAATGATCTAGGATGATTGTTGAGGCATATTTTTATTCATGTATATTTCACTATATTTACAGGACCCTGCTTAATGACATTCAAAGGAGATTCTGGTGTAATAACTAGCCCTAGATATGGTTTAACTAATACATATGCTAATAATCTGAACTGTGATTATGCGATTAATACTGGTGCTGGAAAAGCGAACGTGAACCTGGTTTTGAAACATTTTGATGTTGAATCATCATCCGGTTGCGTTTGGGATTACCTTAATATAGTAGCCCCTCATCACCAGTCTCAGAAACTCTGTGGAACCAAATCACCAGGAACTTCATATACAAGTAAGTTACTTAGATTGATTAATCATTTTGGTCCCTACACCTGAACAGCGTGCATGCATACTTTGCACTTTGTGGAAAGTCAACATTTTTGAAACAAGCTTAATAAAGATCTTTTTACTTTATCTTGTAAGACTTGTCAATTTTTCTTCTTTCCTTTCAGTTAGGGGTGTAGAAGGTGGCATGGTTCTCAGGTTTCATTCTGACAGCTCGGTTACTAACTCTGGATTTTTACTTGAATATCAAGTATTAGGAAGTAAGTGTAATTTCTAATGTCTATTGTCGGACAATAAGCTTGACTCATGTGTAACTCGCTGTAGTACACAAACACCTATTAGAAAATCATAAAGGTCTATCATTAATGTAGAAAAGTATCTGGAAGTACCTTACTTTACTATTTGAAAAAAATAAACGAAACCTCGTAAACGAACCAGGCGGAATTTATATTTAGGATATATGATTAAGACATGTGCTATTATTTCATTTACAGAAAACAGTTCAATACCATCACTGAACAACACCAATCCATCCTGGAACAGCACCAATCCATCTTGGAATAGCACTATTCCGTCATGGAACAACACCAATCCGAATAATACCAATCCATCTTGGAACAGCACCATCCCGTCATGGAACAGCACCATCCCGTCATGGAACAACACCAATCCATCTTGGAACAACACCAATCCGAATAATACCAATCCATCTTGGAATAGCACTATCCCGTCTTGGAACAACACCAATCCATCTTGGAACATCACCAATCCGAATAATACCAATCCATCTTGGAATAGCACCATCCCGTCTTGGAACAACACCGATCCATCTTGGAACAACACCAATCCGAATAATACCAATCCATCTTGGAATAGCACTATCCCGTCTTGGAACAACACCGATCCATCTTGGAATAGCACCATCCCGTCTTGGAACAGCACCATCCCGTCCTGGAACAACACCATCCCGTCTTGGAACAACACCATCCCGTCTTGGAACAACACGGGTCCATCTTGGAACAACACCATCCCGTCTTGGAACAACACGGGTCCATCTTGGAACAGCACTAATCCATCATGGAACAATACCAGCCCAACTGGAAACCATACATTTATCTTTTAAACATTGAACTAACAATAAAGTAGTGTTTGCATGCTTCAGGATTGTTGTCTATGTCATTAGATTGGGAAAAACCTTACTATTTTATCTTTGAAATATATCTAAATGGAATGAATTCATATTTGAATTAGAACTTCGTATTCAAAGATTTCTCAAAGAAAACATCCAAAGAGCTTATTTAGATCGACTTTAATTTATTACCCAAATTTTTTATTCTGTAAGATTTGTACACCAATTTCTGATTTAAGAGCATGGCCTTGTAGGGAACTATGTTGTCTATTGCTCACCAATGACGTCGAAATATAAAAAATATTGGAAACGCAAAGGTTAATGGTGCCGATGAAGTTCAATTTCAAACTGTGCTACCCCAAAACGGTAAAATGATACCTAAATTGCAGAACAAGAATTGAAACGTGGATTTGTTTGGGGTTTCTTTTTTGTTGCTTCTGTACGGAGTACTAAAAAATGCCCCTCCCTTAAACTTCAGAATTAGTTAAAGGAATAGAACGTCTTAGAATGAAGGTAAAATTTTAATTTCGCTCAAACCTGGCCATTAACAGTATATTATCAGTGGACTTACCTGGTGTCATAGCTATACATCAAAATCTCTCTATAATCCGATAAATCAAGTTATGTATTATGAAACGTTGAGTACATCCAGCATAGATATACATTAGGAACGTGAACGGTCTATCTTCACAATATCAAGCTATTACAAACTTTGTCTTACAAGCATCTTTTTTATATCATAGCAGTTGAAAGATATGATGATATTTTTCACAGAAAATATCAGACCACAAAGCCATAATAGACCATGGACTGTCTGTACTCCATAGAATTTTAAGGGGGTTAAAAATGTCAAGCTAATTGTGTTGATTTTGCAATGGTAAGGCCAATAATCCATGTTCCCAAGCTGGCATTCTGCAAAGAATGCATTTATCTGGAGCGCGGGTAAAAGAGAAATGCAGAATGATGTATTAGCAGGTAAGAAAATGAAAGAGGACTTTTGACACGACATTTTTATATTATTACATAAACTGTATGTATTGCCATTTTCTTCACGTTTGGTTCAGGGCCTTTTTATATGAGAAAACATTCAAGAATCATAAACATTAATTGTTACTGATAAAGAAAAATATATCTTAATCACAATGGAGAAGTATATTTCAAATTACAGAAGTTAAATACATAGATGGTAGTTGTACACATTGTATAAAACAGAATCCATGGCTGGACTACAAATTACAGGTATTTTGTAAAACACGTATATCTAACTTGAATTGTTTAGTTCAATTGGTATCTAGTCATCATTGATTCCAGAGAAGCAATCGTCTCCCAGATTTTAATTTTTCGTGAATGTCTTTATTTTATTTTATTCATTTTAGTACATTTGCTTGAAATAGAAGTTTAAAAGTGAAATGTTAATGAAACATGTAAGAAAATGTTTAGTTTAAGTACAGCCAGTGAGAAAATCACCCAAAAAGTGACATGGTCAACAATATTTTGAAGCCGAGTCTCGTGGACTGAGGAGAATGATAGTTTATTCATTATTTGGATGGAAATGGATCTTGCCAATTGAAGTTTATGTAATAAGGAAATAAAAGTTAAGAAATAAAAAGGTTCTTATATCAATCTATTTTTTTTATCATTCACTGATTACTTTGGTCGTGTGAACGGCTTAAATTAGAAACTGACAGATTCAGAAGAGGTTTGATGTATTAAGACGATTCTAGACTGGTAATTGTGAAATAAAACTATTAAATTGTCTCTTAATATAACTAACAGTCATAATATTTCACATGTGTGCTAACTGAAAGTATTTGAATTATCACCCTTTTCAAGTTTAGCATTTTTGAAAGTGTATTTTTATTATCACCTTTGGCTAAGATTTTTTTAACCTGTTTATAACATCTAGAGAGACTGCACCATATATTCAAAGAATCCTGAAATTTTCATGCCTCACAGAGTCTCAGAGAATATTTTTTATAGCCCATTAAAGTTTAAGATTTGTATGGCCTGGTTATGAATGTAATAAATTTAAACATGGGGTACAGGTGTATATACAACCTTTAGTAAAATTGATCACGTCTTTATGAATGAATGTAAACTGAAAAGAGTATAAAAGATGTGGAACCATGATAGATCTACAGGTTACCACAATACAGTATTCACCATGAGATCTTTGTTTCTGATCGCTCTTGCTTTTACTTTGGTTTCAGCCCCCCAGCCTAGACAGGTAGGTACATTCAAAACTTTCTCACAAGTAAGACCTCGTTTGACAATAGTAAATTTCAAATTTTATTATAGTCTTTAACCAAAATACTGAAACGAATGTGTTTACATCGACGGCTATATTCAGAATAATCTGAAGCATTGAGGCTCATTACTATAACAAGCAGTTTTTTCTTTATTATAGCACAGGACAAGTCGGTACCATCAAAAACATTTTCATCATTGTTAAAACTAACAAAACATTACTAAGCTAATCAGCACTTGTAAATGAATAGTCCTTGTTTCGAACCTAGGCCTGTGTTTTTTATTAGTTAAACCTTAACACAAACTGTAAATCGCACAATGTGTGTTTTATTCTCTGTATACACATAAAACAATTCCTTGAATTTGCCACAAATCTTAGTTTGTGTTATTGTTGTGCTTTGACGACGTTATAGTATCACGCGACATTTTTGTGGAAAAATAAACGCCAGTTTGCGTAACTGGTTCATGGAAGGGAGTAATAGTAGAGATTGAAATATTAATTATTAAATGCATCTTAAACAGGGGACCATTTATAAGAACTTATAAGATCAGGGGGGTAAGCTTACGCCAGGTACTCTGGGTTAGATGATAAAAGCAGTTTTAAGGCCCCCTAAGAAAATTTTGCCCCCCCCCCCCCCTTTATAAATTTAGACGACTTAAACGCCATAGTTGAGCCCCCTTCAACCCCTTAGACCATAGTCTAGCTATGGGACTACCCACAGCAGTAGTGACAGCATCGATTGCTGACTTTTCGAAGTCTGATGATTGTAATTGGATCTGGATAGAGGTCTTATACCGGATTGGTTCCTGGACCACTTCAATTTTACTAGTGTAAAACGAATGATAGTCTTTTCATTTTTTAAGGACATTTCGCAGCATCTACTTATACCCAAACTTATGCTTTCCAGGTAGTAGAAACAAGTGGTTCACATATACCTGGTTGTCTATGTGGGGTGCTTTGCTGAATGTACCATCCTTTTATCAAATATCACACACTGTTCCCTACATTAAGCCTTCATTTGTGATAAGGAGCAACAGTAAATTTAATATGAACATAAACAAAATATGTTATAAAATGGTAGTGAGCAATATTGTCCGGTGGGTAACTATCTATCACTCGCATACATTCAATCAACCATTTAATAATTAATATAAGTTACCGATAATTACTTACTAGTCCTATTGTTAATCTGCCAGTAATCCGCGGTCTATCACTTTCAACTCAACCTCGACACTGGTAGTTATAAACCAATTATATCACTTGGCAACTCTGATTATCTGGATATAGAAAGCAATTGGGCAACATATTCGAAGATCAGATCTAAATACTTTTACGGAGTAAAACATCAATTTGTACGCCATTTCCACAATGTGTTCTGATAAAGTCGCCAAATTTTTATTAATTGTATTGAACATAATATTTTTGGTAAGTTTTAATTTTAGAAATTTTCTTGCATTTATTTTATATACGTACCTTTGTGTATATTTATGCTGATTTTATGGGGACTACATTAATCTTCACGGAGCGTGCTCTGCCTATACCAACGCACGAACACAGGAAGGTAAAGGCATTCTCCCATTCATTAATTTGATGCATTTTACTTGAAATCATGAATCCTATAATATAACTGTATGCATGTAGTTCGCTGATATTTTTCTTGGTTATGTTTTGGAAAAGTGATGTCGTGATCAACTTTCCAGCCATTCTTTATCTGCCTTATATTAATGAATGTACGGCCCCATGGTCAATTGATGCATTAATACAATCTAACAATATCCATTTCAAACATTTTATATACCAAACACAATTATGCTTTAACAAGTCATGGTTATGCGGGTATTTCATAAAAGCCAAGTTTTATGGTGATGTAAATCATACAAGTTAAGTTTTATGCGGGAATATCAAACCACGTTTTATACTGATACATCATACAAGCCATGTTTTATGCGGATGTATATCATACAAGCCAAGTTGTATTCGGATAAATCAAACAAGCTAAGTTTTTTGCGGATATATCACACAGATAAGTTGAATGTGGATATATCGAACAAATCAAATTTAATATGGTCGCACGAGAAGGATTCACTGTATATCATATAAATTAAGTTTTATGCAATATATACATCTAAATGTAATTTTTCTTTCAGGTATTTGGTGCTATATGTCTAGGAATCGGAATATGGGTTAAAGTGGACCAAAGTTCTTTAATGTATATAACTCGAGCGGCAACCAATAACAAGTCCATAAATATTCCCTCACTCATAGAAAGTGCCGCTTATTTATTAATAGGTGGGGGTGCTATAATCTTTGTGATCGCTTTCTTTGGGTTTTTTGGTGCCATCAAGAAGATTAAATGTTTTCTTTTCCTAGTAAGTTTATTATACGTTTACATCATAATATGCCTCTGGAGACTGGGGGTACAAATAGACGGCAAACTCAATGGGGACAGATCTGTGAAGACCCCCAACTGTCGCCACCACTTCCCATGATACCCCTCGGGTTTCTGAACGATATCAATTAATGTTTTAAGTAATGTCGTGTGACAAAAAAAATGTTTATTTTTCAGTATGCAATATTTATATTGGTTATATTATGTCTAGAAGTTTCGGCTGCTATCTTAGCAATTGTCTTCAAATCAACAGTAAGTATTCCATATTGTTTTATATGAACATGTAAGAGGTGAAAAAACTATAATGTTTTAAAAGCAATTTTATTGATTTGAAGTAATAGTAATAATAATAATAATCGATTTATACTGGTAAGACATTAGGCCAAAAGCCTCTCTTGCATTTCGCGAACTTATGTACATACAAGCAAAATTAATCATCGTGAAGTAATATAAAACTATACGAAAAGAAGCATATAATAAATGTCAATCTGATAAATCTATATACAAATTAGATCAACTGACCTACTACTGACAGAAGGAAGCCTTTTCTAGAACTATTTTTGATGTTGAAATTACTAGATTTGGTTCCACTTGCGGGACACTGACAAGTCTAGCAATATAGCAAGTCACGCGTAAAACAGGGTTTGTCACGCTTTCAGGGCTGACCGTAAAATATGTCATAGATTTAAACAAACTGCCATCTTGACAAATTTCGTAATTTCTAACTTAAATGTCAGCTAAATTCGAATGTTCCACGTTCTACCCATCTTTACAACGTCAACCTATTACAATTTCATGTTAGACCCTAACTGAAGTGGTTATTAAAAACAAAAGCTATTAAATAAACGGATCGAACGTCTAATTTTAATTAAACTGACTTGTTTTTTTTATTTCAGTTTGATATGTATGCTAAAAAATACCTCACTAAGGCTTTAACAGATCAGTATGTCGGCCCTTACATTGCTACAGATTCTCTATCGCTAGCTTTTGATTACGCTCAAGTCAAGGTAAGTTCCTACATCTTGTCAGATAAATAAACATTGGGGAGGGGGGGAGGGGGGGCACAAAGTTTCCATCGCTATGGATATGATTTCTAGGCCCTTAGTCTGTCGTCTTTGCAAAAGGGGGGGGGGGGGGGGGGGGGGGTTATGGCGTCAAAATTATCACCGAAAGTGACGGTATAAACTAGTCCAGATATCCTTTGAATTACACAAATATTCAGACTTTTTAAGAGAATGAGGACTGAGGTTTTAGGAGTGGTATCTGTAGAGTTTTTCAATCGTTTTAAAAAATATCCCAAGAATTGTATCAAGTTCTAAAGCTAGGCATGTGAAATCTGGTATGAATAGTATGAAGACATATTATGATCTGGATTCTTAAATGTTACAATTAAAATGAATGGAGTTTTACGTCCTACTCTTCTACATTTGGTCTTATGAAGACGACAACCCCATGTAGTGTGCAGTGAGGGACAATGGCATAATCCTGCTCTTTTTTTATTTCCAACAGGCGAGGGATTTTTAACGTGCACATCCTGTAACAGGTGTCTCGAATAATTGTCTGCAATAATTCATTTTAATTTTTCAGTTTAAGTGTTGTGGTATCCACAATAGTTCAGATTACTCGACATTTTCTACATGGAACACAACCTGGACTCAATCTTCCACTGGGACTCAGGGTACTGCTATAATTCCATTTACCTGTTGTATCAGCAGTTCCCCTGACTCGTATCCCACTGAAATGAACACCTTTATCAATGGAATGGCAGATGACAACTGTCCTGTATCACAAGCCAGTGCCTATACCGACGTGAGTACTATAGAAAACAGACATATCTCCAATTCACGCTTAGTGCATTCATCTTGGTTTGCCAGTAGTCTGGTATCTTCACAAAGTCGATCTATTACAACTGCGTCTAATATAAAAAAGACATAGTTCTTAAAAGCTTGACATAGTGAATATGCTATCATAGAAATTTCAACCAGAATTCTAAAATTGCTTTTATATATTACATGTATAAGGTAATTCCAGTGATGCTGATATGAACCCCGGACAGATACAGAGTTTGGTGGTTCGTACAGGACGGATATTCGTGACCCTGTGTATTACTCTCAGCTTGCTATGGGAAAATGGAATTTCATCGCATCTGTTATTAAAATTCACATAACACAATTGTTTGATGTACGCTATTTGGATGCTTTGACAAGAATACAACACACAAGTATTTTCCAGGAAAATACCAGAATATTTTATTGGTGCTTAGAGGCTTACGTGTAGGTTGTAAAAATTATATGAAATAAATAAATACTGTTTAAAATATTATACTGATATTCATTTCAGGGATGTTATGATGCTTTGTGGACGTTTTTTAAAACATATCTTTATGTAACACTGGGTATAGGAATTACAGTTGCTGTACTTGAGGTAATTGAATTTCAGTGATGCTTTTGATTAGACAAGACATCTTTGCAATGTCAAGCTATTACGAACTTCGTCTTATACCTTGACTGCAATAGCCACCTTTCTTGTATAACGGAATGTAGCGATTTGATACAAGACTGCAATTGAAGTCTCTGTTAAGGTATAAGATGAAAGCGTATAAACCTCGTATCTGATTCTTTGACAACTCTTCTTGTTTTCTTTTTTCTTGTAAACAATATTATATTCACATAAAATAGTGATTGGGGAACAGGCTTTCGCTTATATTACCCCTGTCCCGACACATCTAGTACCCACAAGAAATTGGTTGGCTCTAAGCAATCAAATACAATAATTATTTCAATGCTCAAATTGGACTGTCTGGCAGTTGCAAACTTCCAATTAATGACTTTGATTATGTGTTTATCTTTGCAGTTTATCGGACTTGTGTCGGCATTTGTGTTAGCTTGTACAACAGACAAAAATAAAGTAGAGGATATGAGAAAATATTGAATAAATCAACAGGAGTGCTGTGATATACTATGATTAACTCTGATGAATCTGATATACTGTGATATACTGTTTTGTGTACCACACAGGTAAACAACTTCCATAGGACTAGTTGAACCAAGTCTATGCCCCCCATTTGGCTCCGCCACTGCTTTTCTTTTTAAAGGGTTGGGGCCCATGGTTCAACCAGTCCCTTTGCGTTGAAGTTGAGATACTGTGTGGATCGGGGTAAGGTTCTCATCTATTGACGAATCGGTAAGATAATCTTTTGAAGATGACCATAGCAAAGTATGTTTTCAACCATATTCGCAGCCGCGAAAGCAAGTTTTTCGGGCAAAAATCTCATGACTAGAAATTCGGGCAATCTCTGATCTTCCTGAATTATTTGTTTATCTTGTAAATCTCTCCAGAAGTATAGTATGTAATTTCATCTCAAATTTATGTATTCCAATACTTAATCCATTGTCTCAACTTGTGACCTAGGTCAGTGCTTCTATAAGAGAGTATGTCTTATAAAACCTTATACTGCCCATTGGTAAAAAGTAGCCTCAAACAATAACATATTTACACAATGTTGTTTTCAATAAACAAAAAATATTTGTAAAAACATATTTTATGAAAAAGACCTATTAACCGAGAATCGTCATCTTATTTAATTTGATTGTTTATCACTGTCTATAGAATGACGTCTGGTTCCATCCCACTAAGGGATATTAAGGTCTAACTGCTGTTTGCCATATTATTTCAAGAAGCAAAGCAAACAAATAAAGTTCCACCGTGGCTAAAAGAAAGTGACCAAGGAATTATACTCATTTGAGAACGTTACCTGTATGTGTAATGAAACGTTGTATTTAAATAATAAATAGAAGTTTATATCCGAAACACTGTTGTTTCTTATAAACCTCCAGTGCCGTCATCCTATTGTTCTAGCGGGATTTTATATCTCATAAAATGCCTGGTCATGTCATTCCCGATGATTGTATAATAATTTTCCCAGGATTTAATGTATAATCCCCGGGATTTAATGTATAATCCCCGGGATTTAATGTATAATCCCGGGGATATTATGTATAAAATCCCGGGGAAAGTATGTATAAAAACTTAAAACATTTTCGGATTTCTTATGCTCAAGCTGGCTTGAACAGCTCTCAAATAACAACAAAAACATATTAAGACTTTTAATGAAAGTAAAAATTATATGTAGCAGAATTTTCGCGTGTGACATCGAGGGTCACAGAAGTCGATGTTGTCGCATTCTGCATTGTGGAAACAATATCTTCTTCAGTGGTCATTGTGTTGGTTGATTTTCGAGCAACTTTTGCTCCAGTCAAGAGCCGAGAGTCGTCAGATGATCTCTTGTAAGCTCTTATAGCTTCACTACAATACAATTACGTTCCAATTATAAAAAAAAAACGACTTCGATCTGCTTGTAAACAATTATTAACAAGTTACATCATACAGAAATTGTCTCCAAATCTTTTCCATCAGAACTGAAACAGTGTAAATGCACAATAATATTGGATTATGAAAGTTTGATTTTCATAGTTACATTTGCATTAATCGATTTGATAAGTTTATTTCGTGAATAATTATTGGACGTGCATGGGTTGAGTTAAAATATTCGGCTGTCTTACGAGGCAAAAATATAAATACTAACCAAAGAGAACAACACTTCTCAAACAGTCTGACATAGCATCTAGATGGTTGATTATTTTCGTAGGCACGAACTTCCTTTGGTGGTACTTTGCTGTCCTTCAGGCCTCCATGATTTGTCTTGGATACATCTTCTTTATACAAAAGATAACGTCGACCCTTCTCATCCACGCTGTTTGCAGGATATTCAGAGCCATTTTGTTTTCGTGCTTCAAAGATAAAGTATTTCAGAGCAGTATACAAACATTCTTTATCCATTCTTGATAATGGCGTGTATAGGCATGAGGCGGGCAATTCTAAGTTTTCTTTCATGGGCCGTAGTCTTCTTTCTTCCTGCCACCTTGAAAAGACGAACACGCCCCAGGAGTTCCGATATCTTGTTGATTTCGGAACACACACCTCTGTTTTCTTTTCTATATCTTTTTCGCACAGAGGCTCCCTAAATCTGTACTGAAAGTCGTCTCTTACCGTTTCCTCCGGCGTAAATACAGACTGGGTCAGAAAAATATTGTCTACGCTGAGTACAGTATAGAAAACTGAGAGACCACTTGGTTAACTCTAATCACTGGCACGTGCATGCTGTGTTTGCGCGACCCGACATTGGTTACATTGTGGATTAAAATTTGGCGATAAAAATTAAAATAAAGGTTCAATATCGGTTTATAAGTCTGATAAAACACTTTCCCTCGGGTTTTTATGACATTTAAAACCCTTTTCCTCGGGGCAAGCCCCTCGTGATGAGGGATTTTAAATATCATAAAAACCCTCGGCCGTGTTTTATCCTATACTTAATTTGATGACCAAGTTTAACACTTTAAATTTTATGTCCACCAGAGGTAGTATTCTTTAAAATTGTTGCTATAGTTGTTGATTTCCAACATTCCTGTCAATAAAGTAAAAGCAGCTTTTGCGATAGTGACGTCATAACCGGTAATCCATTTCTTTAGTTACAGAAGCCACAGACAGCTTGGACCCCTTTTGGAGATTTGAATTCTGCTCTCAATACAATTGATGGTGATGATCAATTGTTTGTAGACTAAATACGATATACGACTTTCAAAATTTGTAACAATTTACACAGTAAAAGAATAGCCTCTGCCTCCATAATCTACTTGCTCAGTAGCTTAACCACATTTTTTTCAAACACAATAATACAGGGGTATCGAATTTTAATATGAATAGCTTTTGACAAATGATGTAGGATTAAATAGCTCAATTAGCTTTTTCTTCAGATAATGTGGTAGAAATCATTGTTTTCTGGATTTCAATGACAACCAACGTGGTAAAAAATCCCATAAAAAGGATTGTCCAAAATTTCCTCATTTTTAAAGCTATTTTTGTACCTCTGTGATCTTTCAAACTGAACTACTATCTTTCTGTCTTTCATTACAATGACATGTACAAAAATCAGATCAGTTATGTCAGACACTAATAATTATGTTAATTTGGGAGTTGAAGCACTAAATATCTTTTACGCATAACCATATATGTACATTTCAAAGTGTTGATCAGGACAAACAGTTTTACTGCTTTCCGGTCTACTTGTTGGAACATATTAACACTTTCGCAGTTTTAAAATCGTTATGATAAGTATACTGAGTACATTGCTGAGTATATATTGAGCTAGAAATGAATCTTTGGGCGCTTCAGTGAAAGGTAAGTCCTGTCTTGGTTGTGTTTTATTCCTGCAGAGCGATAATCATATCTATTACTTGAAATGCCGAAAAAAAAAAACAGAATTTGACTTCAAAGTTACTTCATTATTTCTGTTTTTTGATTGAACTATATTTTCATAGATTTCAGTAAATACTGTGTTATAATGTTATAATGATTTATTTCAGTATTAACTACAGTACAACTGCCATACACTGCCTACAGGAATGTTATCAGTGAAGGAAATACAGACGATGTTTCCCAAATGCAAACCAAGTCGCAGGCAAAGAGTAAGGTCAAGCATATCTCTTGACGAATCAAATCCAACTCCTTTCAAATCTGGCAGAAATGAAAGAGCAACCACTTTTTGGCATGTAACGGTGAGCCATGGGAAATATTATGAGAGGTTGCAACACTCACAAAGCCTGTCTACTCGTCGAAGAACTCTGTCTACTGCCGACGATGTTGCAGATGATAATATCCTAGAAAATTTCCTTGCCAATGCGAAACGTGAAGTAATGGAGGCAATGAAAATACTGTCTATGACCGATTCAAGTAGAGAATTAATCTTTGAAACAAACGATATATCAGTAAACACTAAATACTGTAATGGCTCACCTGTACACAAGAACAGGAAGTTGTCCGTTGTTGAAGATCTTAAAACACAACTTGCTTTTGTCCGAAAGAATTTGAAGAAGACAATAAAAATATTAGAAAAAAATTGAGCTAATAAGCGAAATGAATCCCGAATTAGAAGCAGAAGGCGATAAACAACCAGAGCAACCTGAAAGGAAAGAGAGCTGCAAGTCAATCTATTCTTCAGGACTCTACAAACACTTGAAGCATACCAAGAAAGCAACACCCTTCATCTGCGACACCGTTCTTCCTGATTTTACAAAAGTTGTTGTTAATGAATATAGTGGTCAATCTTGGGACAAGTTGTGGTCAACTGACAGATAGAAAATATTTACTGATGTTGTTTCTTAATATGTCCATATTTTATAAGAATAAAGAAATATCCTCAATATCCAATCTAGATACCTGATTAACAAATAAAGCTGATTAGACATTGCAAATTGTATATCCATGACCGCAAAATCCCCTTTTTAACATTTGCTATCAAGAGAAAAAAAAATGTAACACCATCTCGTTTGGGTAGCACCTGCATATATATATTGGATATCTTTACATCTTGTGGTTATGTGCTTGATCAGGGTAGCATACAAGACAAGACCATGTCCTTGTGTATTGGGTCTAATTCTGATTCTAATTAAAATAAAGAGAATAATAATAACTAGAACTGTTCTATTAACAGTACTGATGCAGGGCGGGTTACGACATTCAGGTACATACGAAGAAGGTCTATTCACTTCTAACTTTTACTACCAAAAAAGAGTATTCTGTACTGCCCATGGTTCAGTGACTATGTATAATTAGTTGGTATTTCTACTGTCATCAGGTCTTAACACCACAATAAATCTTCCCAATTAAAGATTCAAAATTTAGTTCTGATATGTTTGTTTGACCAGTATCATATTACATACATACATACACATCTTTTCTTTATGACTTCTGTAACTTTTCTTATTGACCTTCATTCAATTTTTTTTAGAACCACTCTATAAACTCATTGGTTACTTTTGTATCTTGTTTTGAAATATATCAATAACTTTTTTTTCAACTGGTGGGGCATCGGCACTTGCAAATTGGCACACGACAGACTTTGAAAAAAATATGAGCAAACAGTAGAAATAAAAGGAAAGTAACAAATTGCAGCGGCTTAATCGGGCTACAGACCCTGCATTATACTGTTAATTTTATGAACACAGATTTGGACATTTGGATGCAATACGTACACGAAAGATTACCAGGTACTGTCAAATTATCGGAAATCAATCAGAATACACAAATTTGAACATTTTAATTCAGTGAATTGAAATTGTATACGCTAGAATTATTATTTAGTATAATTTTGAAGAACACCTCTATTTATCTGAATAAAAAAGTTAGCCTCCAAACAATTTTTTTATGGTTTCGGAATGCTAAAAATTGTAAAAGTTTATCAAATATAGAAATTGTGTTTCCAAAGTGATCAGATTCGTGAGTTAATATTTCTGATTGATAGGATTCTGATTTCTCAAATTTTATGACTATCTTCTTTTAACAGAAATCAAACAGAGTTTTGCTCAAGAGAAACATTTAAATCAGTGAAGAAGGGCTCCGTACTAAATTTGTAATGTGAAACTGGTCAAGTTATTGTACCTTCTTAGTAAAGTATTTTTTATTGGTGCAATATAAATTAGTATCATATCTGTCAATAGTAATGAACCATCACATTCCAGTTTTGGCTGTAATGGCCACCAAGTGGTATTAAAAGCTAGGACTGTATTGCAATTACATTGATGTAAATACTTTCCTGCATCTCAAAATGAAAATATACGAAAGTGCGTGGAGTTTAAAGTATATTGACTAAGAACAAGAGAATGTTTGTCAATTAATAAAGACTAAGTTTGATGAAATTCAGACAAGAAATAAGAAAGTTGGTAATGCGCATGCGCACAACAATAATTCAATATTTCCATCAAATTTAGAATACACATACATACCAAGTTTGATGAAATTCGGATAAGAAATAAGAAATTCGATATATCCATCAAACTTAGAATTTGTTTATACACATACTTACAAAGTTTGGTGAAATTTGGATAAGAAATAAGAAAGTTGGGAAATTAAGTAGGGGTATACCTATAAGGTGCTTCCGTAAGCTCAAATTACAGTATAACATGGTTCAATCCATCCCAGAGCTTATTCATATATTATAGCTGAACATAAAACATATCAAACAAATATAAAAGGGGTGCGGCATTTTGATTTTGATTAGAGTTGACAGACCAATGACAGCGTATTTTAATTACAGTAATTACACCATGTTAAGTGTATGGGATTTTGAATTTGCATTTAAGGCATACATGTTAAATATCACTAGAAAGCTCAGGACCTCAGCATTATGAATCCGAAAATAATATTGCTCTATCTTTATTAAGTCACCTGTTAGAATGCTTTAATGATGCAAATTATGACATCCATAAAACCGGAACCACGCACATAAATAATCTAAAGGTGGTACCGTGCTAACACAAATAGGAATTGAGATACAGCAGTGCAAAATTGGCCATATTTAGAGCCCTATAAAACCAAAAGGCGTGGTTTGACGCCAAAGATCATAAGGTCATAAGAAGCTCAAGGTCAGCTCATCAAAGGTCAAGGTCACGAGATAAGCCTTCAAATTTCGAAAAAATTGAACCGGAAATTGCAAAAAAAAACAAGAACGAAATTAAAAAATCGGCTTCCTAGAGTTTTCATTTGACACCAAAATCATCAAAATCGGATAAGCCGTAATCTCTGAATAAAATTTTGAATAATTTCAGAAAAATCAAAATGGCGACCAAACTATCAATTTTCATGTGTAGTAAACCCTTCTGTTTTTTAAAGTCATGACATGACGATTAGTATAAGTTTCAGTGACTCTCATACATAAAAAAAACGGAAGTGGATCAACCGGAAGCTAGCACCTTGATTTCGCACCAACCGGAAGTGATGCAAAA